TAAGCGTTCTTGAAGAGCCTTCATCTCGTCGTCGTAAGATTTCCATTCAGGAATAATTCTCATAGCAGCAGAAAGCTTTGCTTCTTTGGTTTTCGGATTATTGCACTGCAGGGCGAGGATTAGAGACGCATTGTACACAAATAACTGTATCAACAGGACACCCAAAAAAATAACTAAAAAGTCATCCGAAGTTCGATCTGGTACTGTGAATTCAAATAACCCCCACGTAAAATTGAGATGCTGTATTACCAGATATATCCACGATATCTTAAATTATTCGTTATTGTAACGGGTAAAGCAGGGAAATTCCATGATCCAGATTGAACATTATAATGCAGCTCATCAAATTCCCAGACAACCGATTAAAAAGTAATAATACGCACAAGGTCAATAGTTTTCGCTCCTGATTTGGTTTCGTCACTGCACCAGGTCTCACACCAGAGCCACTCCTGAGGCAGAGACTTTATGCCAACCTGGTGAATCATGTTGTTCGGAAGATCCTATTGACAAAAAGCATGTTGCAAAAAACAAAATGTAAGGATCGAACATGAATGAAAAAAGTAATGCAGATAATTCGACGAAGAAGCCTGACCTGATCCAGATTCGAGAGAGAGTTCGGATCCTGGCTCAATCCTTGATATTGACCGCGTAGACGATCACCAGCAGCAATACGCCTGAACTTCTTGAGATCAACGACATACAATGCAGAAATGTGGTATCTCCTGTTTTGCAGATGAGAACGCCAATACCCTTGTTTCCAAAACCTGAGGACAAAAAAAAAAAAAAACGTGAATATTCGTTCACTCGTCAGATTTCGAAGTCATATCTTTGCAAGTTTACCTATATCCCTCCATTTCGGTTCTTGAATCACAAAATGGTGTATACCCGTACGGATTTCCTTCTAAATCAAGATCCATGAGTTCTTTAAGGTCCGTTCGAACAACCTGAAGTATAGTCTGAATGTAGTTTAACACTGTGCATAAAAATAAGTACTTGGAGATTTTACCTGGTCGGCATCCACAAAAATAATTTTTTTGACATCAAGAGGAAACAAAACATCGAGGAAAAGTATCTTGTAACCCCAGATCAAGCGCTGCTTTTCGGTTTGTTGGTGAAGCCAACGAGGCCACTTGTACTCGACAAGCTCGTACTTGAATCCATATTCCGCAGCCATGTGCGGGAGGAAGTCCTATTGACAGGGACACAAGAATCGAAATTTCAATAAAAAATCGAAATGTCGAAGAATATTAGTCCCCGAAAGTCGACGATTTAAAGAAAACTCACTTTGAGGGAAGGCGAAAGGTAGTTTTTCAAGAACCAGAATTTGACAGGAACAGACGCATGCTTCACAACTGACAGCATCATGATTTTCAGAAAGCGTTCATACAAATGCCCGGACGCCAGAGAAAAGATGTTTATTACTTCATCATCCTTATCTTCTTTCTTTCCAGTCGACAACGAGCTGTGAAAAAATATACAAACCCGCTATAAATTTGAACCTTTCCGCAAAAATCAGCAAAATCATAATTAAAAAAAAATAACGTACCCTCCAAGCTAGTGTAAATTAAGCATCTGCACAAACAAACAAAACTATATGCCAACAGACAAACTCGGAAACTGATGAAAACACCAACGTAAAGTTCCAAGTGACGAAAAACCAAGAGAACCAAAACTGCTTGGTGTGCTCAGAGACCATATGAGTCGAAACCATACTACAAAGCTTACTCGAAATATGCGAGAAATTTCTCTTCGGCGAATGTGTAAATACCCGCCAACTGACTTCCCAAGTCTCGCAGCATTTCCCCCAGGATCGGGATTCTGACGAAATGAACGCAAATTTTCTGATACATACGCACATAGAAATTATGGAAACTGGATTAAGGGTTTAGGTTAAAAAGCCAAAAACTAGGACGTTAAAGAATCAACGTTTTCAGAAGGTTGACAAACATACTTGGAAATTGAATCCGTGATTCTATTCCAAAGTCCCGCGCTATCTTCGTCCATTTGATCAGAATCTGCAAGTAAATCCGCCATTTCCATTCCGGGCTTCTTTTGAACCTTGACTCGAACAACGTTGCTTCGGAAAGATGACATCAGAATTCTGACACCAGTGGAATCAGGCTTCACTTCAACTCCATCGTAACTTGAAGACAAAAAGATAAAATCAAATCCGAATACTTCACTCCTCCCTCAAATATCGCTAAACAGAATTACCTGGAGATTTGGAAAAGTTCGCTAGATCTGCCTTCTCGCAAGTTGAGAATCCAAGAACCAGGACTGCCTTTTAGTTGAAAATACCCCAAATTTGCCATCACAATCGTGTCAAAAACAATAGGCTGGTTCTCAGCAGCCAAGGTGAACTGCAATCCCCTCGGAGGATTTCCGGTTCCGCTTTCGAAGCAATGTCCTTCCAGTAGCAGATTTTCCAATTCGTATTCTCTGTGGCCCATCAGATAAAATTATTAAATTTGTCAAGATAAATGAAACTCGATGTTGCTCCGGATTATTTTTATAAATACAGCGTTGTTTTTCGATCATTCAAAATTTAAAGCATCAGGAATGTGGTTGCACAAGTTCTGCGACTATCTGGATTGATATGAAATTTTTCAGGCGAATTCAACAACGTAAGACTCGCCTTACTTCTAACTTTCTGCTGAGATTAAAAAACAATTTTGTAAAGCAGAGGTCGAAGAAAGAAAAGTACCAACCCATAAACCCCGCCTTCGACGTCTTTCAACCTAATGTTATCCAAATCATACGGACTCCTCACAAGACCAACGAGCCAATTTTCCGGAATCTTCAATCCCATCGTCAAAATCGGTTCGGTTGGCAAATGCAAGAATTTGGCCACAGGGGCCACGAGTGATCCAGTCTCGGGCTCAAATTCCGGCTCCGACGCCAGAACGTATCTAAAGAAGCTCTTCATCGGCATTTCGGAATGTTTCTCCACGCAATTCATGTACAGTCGAACTTTGCTCGGCAACACTTTCATCACAGTCGACACCAAAGAAGCCATCAATTGGGCACCTCGCGTCAACGGATCCACAATACCGACGATGTCCAAATAGGGTTCCCCTTCCACTTGCGACGATAAGTGGACCGTGCTGCAGGAATACGAAAAACGGCGTTATATTGACTATACAGTATTTATATAAGTAGGAATGACGATAGAATAAAACGCATTCATGCAAGAAGCACTATAATAAGGAGAAAAGCATCCTCGACTAATTGCTTTATGCGATTTTATCAACGTATTTTCAATCTCCTCTTTTCTCCTCCGAAGTAAGTATTGATCGAAGCACTGAAGCTCACTTCGAAAAACCCCTTTTATAAATCAGGAATATGTTCAAAATGTCATCCATCATCAGAGGGAAGAAAAATAAAATTTCACCGAAAAAAAAAACATTCGATTAGACTTTGAATATCTCAGGCAGAATGGTGCAACTTCAGGAACAGAATTCCGAAAATCATAAAAAATGTTTCTTAAACTTTAAAAAAAAATTGAATTCATAGAAATTCAGAGAATTGCAGGACTCACGGAACGTGTTTCAATTACGACAGAGATTTTTAAAATTGAAAGTGGTTCGTTTCGGTCTACTTACAAAACCGTGCGTTACTTTCAGAGGACAAAAAACAGAAGTTTAAAAAACAGAAACAATGTGATTTAGGAAAACGATTTTTGGTCACAAGTGAGTCGATCTTGGTGTTGGCCAGCGCTTTCGTCCTCGATCTTCGCTCTTCGTCTGGGTGCTTTTCTCCCAACAATGCTTCTCGATGATGGCTCATACATGTACTGTAATTACGAAACGATTCACAGTACCTCGAATCAGACACCAGGGCTGGCAGTTCCAGTCTGCTTTTTGCGGCTCCTTGCGAAAGTAAGACAGTCGTTGCTCCAACGACGTAGTCACTCAATGTCCGCCCTTGCTTCCCTTGAGCTTTGACCTCGAGTAGCATTTGAATAATCGCATCAGCCGACGTAGACGACACGTATCGGCTCAGCAAAAGGAAATCACTCTCCACAAAGTCTTCCTTCGCTCCCAAAGGCCCGATAACACGGCCATTGCAAATAACCACAGCTTGACCCGGGCGAACGTTTAACATCTTAGACGAGTACTGACGATGGAGGTTGAGAATACTAGACATGTCCAAGGCATCAAAAGCCTTTGAGTAGGACAGGAGGTCAAATCCCTACAAATAAAAAAATAGGCGTACAATTCAAATACTGTGCATGTATTGTATATAGATACTTCCTGAGCTGTTACACGTGAGGGAGTCCAAAGTTCGAGAAAAATCATGGAAGAGAGAATATTTTCAAAAATAGTTTCATGCCAAGAAAGTATACAGGTTTGATCATGAAAAATTTGATTGATTTCCAACAGTTGTATTTGCGGCATTTATATGGTCAAGAGCTGTCGCGTCCCAAAAATTCCTGTTACAATACTGCACGATCAATTTTCTTTCGAACTATACATTGAATTTTGCGCTTCTATATACTGTATACTTTATTGTACTTGATTTTTTACTACCAGCCCCAAGTACTTGTCAAATTAACAAAAGCAACAAAAACTTGGACCCGTTCCTAATTTTTCCTGAAAAAAAATATTCGAATCCAATCGTTTGGGCCGGAATGTTTTGATGAGAGGCTAAATACCCAGCTAAATAATTATTTCAAACTTGATGTCAATGATGAGATGAGAAGAAACTTCCTCTCGATGGAAAAATTTGAGGCAGGATTCCTTCCATACATTTCTTCGGATTTTCAGATATCCCCACGCATATTTGAGCTCCATCAAAGTGCTTCTCAGATGAGAAACAAATTCAAAAAAAAAGCAACCGACCTTCACGTTCAGTTGAACAGGCTCTAGGTTTCCTTCGACAAACTTCTTAACATTCTTGTCGGTCAAAAAAGCATCGAGAACTTCAGCTGCGACACGATTCTCCTGACTCTGAATGACTGAAAGTACCGCTTTTGCAAGACGATCATTATTCACATCTTCTGCGTTGAACAACAATCCGATGCGCATATTCGGATCCCCAGCCTGAAATTAATTCAAGAAAAGGATACAGATTACAGTCAGATGAGCAGAAAATGTGGAAAACTTACAATATGAGAAGCAGCAGCCCGAACAATCCCTAGCCCTTGCCGATTATTGACATCAACCGCCAACCAAACCGTCACGGGTTTGGTGCCCATCGACCCAGACTTCGACGAGAAATACGGAAAATTCGAGAACACTTTCTGAGTCAAATCGTCGTCCTTGGGATCACTGAACAAGCTGGATGCATCAACGTATTTGACTTCGTCATTATCTCCGGTCAGAATGCGATTATTCAGCCTCGGCATGACATTCGGCTGCCGCATGAGGAAATCCAAGACATTGTCCGAGTCGGTCAGGGACCCATCATACACAGCTTGTTGCAACACGTTCATTTGAGACGACAAAGCCATGATGGCTCCTTCCTCAAAGCCATCAGCATTTAAATGCTTCTGCTCCAATGGAATCCCGTTCATCAGTACTTGGGGCAAACGCTCGAGTCCTGTCCTTGAAATGAAGTCTCTGGCTAATTGGCGACCATAATCGTAAGTCGAATCCGCGCCGAATATCTCGTCGAGGTTATCTTTCGGACGAAGCCTTTTCATCACTTCGCGGACTATCTCAGGAGTCACCGGATCTGCACCTGCTTTGGCATATACCTGAAGAAAAATCAGAATACATGGCTCATTACCAAAATAATCATAGCGACCGGATACCGAGTTCCGGAAAGAAATGTGGTAATGGAGAACTTCGTATTGGGCGAAACATTCCACACAAATGGATTCCGAGGAAAAGATCTGAAATCCACCAGATCTCTACTTATTTATTCATAATAGTCTCAAAATACGAGTACGGTATAAATATCAATACTTGAATAGATAACTCTTTAAACGAAAATATATTTTTTTTAATTTATTCAAGTCATGTACGCAAACTGACAAGACATCTATCCATCCATAAGCTCGATCGTCCCCACGCACGTTTCCAGAAATAATTTTTGCACAGTTCTGGAATTTATCGCTGAATCATGTGCCATTTACGCAGAGCAAATTTCACGAAAAAATTACCATATTACAGAAATACGGTAATTATTCAAAGTCAGCCCGGATCCTGTTCAAAAATATGCGCAATGAACATACGGCTTTATTGTTGATTAATTTTTCAACGCTTTGGAACCCCGGATGATTGGTTTGAAACCAAGAAGAAAAGCTTATATAGCAGAATAATAAGCAGGATGACAGCAGCAGTGAGCTCTTTTATACACAAGTTGTCAGATTTGTTGCTTAAACTTCATTCTTCTATTCCATCTCTACATCGCATATTGAAGACAAGTCCAGAAATGTCGCAAAGACGCAATAAAAATGTGAAGTAGAGTCGCACCCGACGAATGCTGACTATACCTCCAACAATTGTTGGCATAAGATATTTCAGAAATAGCTTTTTTTAATGACTCTGATGGTGCACCATTCAGGAATCAAACTCACATCCGTAAGGAAGCTAAGTCCTGCAGCAGCGTTCTTCACGGAAGAAACGGCGTTGAAACCCAGCAACATGGCAACACCCGCGTCATCATTGCCGGTAACCTCTTCTCTTGGGTCAACGGAGAGAACGAATCCGATCCTGATGGGCGCCTTATGGACGTAAAATGACTCCGCAATTTTGACCAGCTCTGCGCTCGTTTTCTCGGCGGGATCCACCAATAAAACCTATGTG